TTTCTAGGAAATAACAAGGTCCCAATTAATCCTTCCCATCCTTTTCATCTACTTTTTTCAACATGACAAATTTGCAAAGGCAATCTTGATTGCACTTATATGACATGGCATGTGAACTTGAATCTGTGAAGGCCAAGACAGGTTTACACTGGCTTCTTTCCAATGGAAAGATGTGCAATGTCAGGTGGCTCAGGTCCCTTCTATGAATGGCGACAACAACTTGGTGCCACAACGATGAGAAATATACCGGTCAATTTTAAATCCTGTAGGATAAGCTTCATCATGCAATTCAATAATTGGAGATGACATATCAAAGAAAAACTCCGCCCGACTCGCAAATCCATAACAAGACTCATACAGGATCAGGCATGACAAAGGCAAAAGACAATGTCAGATTGTGATAAAGAGAAGCCTAGATGCTTGATTGAGTCTAAAAGGGGGAATGTGCAGTGGACCTATATTTGTAGGTGCTTTCATGGGAAAAGGTTGTTGCATCATGTGCCTTCACATGATGAAGATAGCCTTTCAGATGACCTAATAATCTGTGAATCACAAAGGATCATTAGCAAAATAAAACCCTAAGTTGATAGAGCTCAAATTAGACGAAAGCTAACACTGTTCCATCTCAGCTGATTTGGGAAAGAAAATACGAAGGGAGAAAATCGGAAGCACAGGAAGAGTAGTTCGACAGATACAAAGCACAAATATAGATGCTGAACGGAAGAATAACTTACAGATTTTTCTCAAAGAGAAACGTTTGAATCTTCCACCATTTTTGGACTTGCAAGAGAGAGAAGAGAGAATAATCACCTTTCTATGAACTTGGATGTCATTGCATAATCTGTGTACTTACATGACATGAAAAAACAGCTACTGTTGCTGATGAAGGAAGTCCATTGGGAGCATAGAGATTTTCTTCCTACTAGCCCCCAGCATTATTTACGCTATACCTATACTAACAGTTGGACAGAAAGAACAATGACATCTCAACTTTACTGGAGGAAACATAAATTAACTACGGGACCTTCTTACATAGTCTAATAAAACTGACAGCATAAATCTATCTGTACAAACCGACTTGAAATCTATGTGCAGTAAAAAAAAACCCCTTTAACCTCAAAGTGGATGCATGCAACCAATGCATCAACAGGTGCCGAAACTGCATCCAACATGTTCTTGAGTGATGAGACGGAGGCGATCTTGCATAATAGCCATGGAGGGATAAGGTGGGAAACACAATCGGTAAAAGCATGTATGAGATGAAGGGAGGTGATTGTGAGGCTCTGTCGACTTGTAAATGTAAAGTCGCGAGGCCAGACCGCGGAAACCCTCAACAGGTAGATACTTCACTGAGGTCCAAAAGAAGAGCAGAACCTTTCTCTGATCTGGTGACATTTCCCCAATGATCTGCAAAATATTCAAGCACAAGATATATATAAAATAACAAGCAATGCTTGTCCTCTGACAGAACTCTACTACGAAGCAGCAGAGGTGGGACTATCTCAACTGCAGCTGACTGGTAAAAACTCAAGGTCCAGGAGTGCAAATACAAGCACATTCGCATGAATATTTTTAAGATCAAAGATATAACTAATACTACGAAGACTTCAGGAATAAAACTCAGTATATTGCATGCTAATCTAGCTTTCTAGGGGGGCAAAAGGCTTTAATACCTTCCATTGAGTGCATGTGTATTTACTGGTTTCTTTCAAGTCCCTTGAGTATCATTCGTTGAGTGTGTGAATAAAAAAATAATGCACCAAGCAAGAGACAGCCATCCTACTATTGGTGATAAATCAAAGTTTAAGGGAAACCCACATCCTCAGTTTTTGATGAGTAACAAATTAATAAGGTCAACTCCACACTAGTAGTGGGATAAAGGACTTGCAAGAAACACAGGTATAAATAGAGAAGAGCGCCTATTAAAGACCCAAATGGGCATGACAAACGTGCTCAAAAGCAGTGCCTTGACAATGAGCATCACTCCAACCACACAATGTTATCAAAGATACGCTTATAAGGCTGATTTCCAAAACCCTACTAATGGGATAAAGAACTTACAAGAAACACAGGTATAAAGAGAGAAGAGAACCTATTATAGACCTAAATGGACATGGCAAACTTGCTCAAAAGCAGTGCCTTGACAACGAGCATCACTCCAACCACGCATTGTTATCAAAGATATGCTAAGGCTGATATCCAAAACAATATGTATCTTATTTCTGCTTTGCACAGCTCACTCTGCAAACAAAGGAGGTTAAAGAACAAAATCTACCCTCATTCCAGCTCACCATGGACTGCATGGGTTTTGACTAGTTTCTTTCAAGTACCTGGAATATTATTTATGAGTACAACAAAACCTAATGGATCATACCAAGAAACAGGCATTCTATTATTGGTGGCGCAACAAAACTGAAAGGAAACCACGCACACAATTTTATCACCTAACAAATAAATAAGATCAACTCCACAATGTTGATGGGATAAAGAGACCATCCAACATGAAAAACCCAAAAACTTGCAGAGAATTCAATCATGGATATATTAAGATTGCTCAAAAGTAGTGTTTTTTGACAAATGAACCCCCCCTCCCAGGGCCCACCCGTTCCCAACCACCAAATGGAATTCAAAATTAAAAATATTAAGATTGCTCAAAAGTAGTGTTTTTTGACAAATGAATCCCCCCTCCCAGGGCCCACCCGTACCACGAAATGGAATTGGAAATTAAATAAACATAATTCAAGGTTGATTTCAAAGATAAAATATTTATTTATTTTCCACTGATCCCTCTTTTTGTTTCAGTTTTCAATTTGTATCTGTATCTAAAACATTTCTTCCCCAACCAACCACACAGACATGCACAAAAAGAGGAAAAAATATTGAAACAAAATCTACACTCGTTCAACTGTCCGTACCCCCTCCCAAACCTGGCATGCTTGTTAAGGTAAGTATGACATCCTAACCACACCCCCTATGCTCTAACTCCACAGCAGCAACCTTCTGCCCTTTCACACATAAGTGCAATCAAAATAACATGAATGTTCAACACTTTGGCATTTGTTTTCATGTAAATGCATGCATGAATAATATGTGTGTTCAAACTTCAACACAAAACTTCGTATAATGACATAACTTAAAAACTCTTAAATGTTATCTTCAAGAACCCAAACCAAGTTCCTTATGTTCTTCCTTATTCAACCACAACATCATCAGTATGCTGAGGAATTCATGACACAACCTTGAGCATTTGAGATTCAAGATGACTTGTAAATTTGACAAGACAAACATGGACAGCAATTTGAATTGCTTTGGTATTTATTGTATGTCTAGAACTTCGTCATACATCTTTCAGCTTCAAAGTAATTGACCAAAGAGATAAACTGACATGCAGCTGTAAAATGGTGAAATGCCACGCAATCTTGCATGTCCTTTTTTCCACAGCCTCGTACAATAGAAAGAATTGCATTCACATAGTATTTAGGCTTTACTTAATTAGGAAAAACAGCAGTACACCTGGTAAGGATACGCAGATAGGGATTGTTCTGCCATGTTAGAAAACAATGAACCAAAG